CGGCGGCCAACAGCGACACCCGGAGGCGCCGCCGCGCCACTGCAGCCGCCGGATGGCCGCGCTCAAGGGGGCCCGGCTTTGGGCGGGGCTCAGCGCCTGCTCCGGATCCGGGGGCTCTGCTCGATACCAAACAACAAGCGCAAAAGCTTTGGCGCGGCGCGTCTCCAGATGCGTTAAGTGCGATGCGCTTTTGGGCGCATTCACTTCATCTCCTTTAGACCCACTCAATCCTAAGACTTACGAATTTTGGCAGAGCAGTAAGGAAAGGAACTCAGCTACTCTTTGAAAAAAACTATGGTACAAATGTAAAAGTCAGGACACTATGATACTTTAGAAAGAGATGACTTTGAGAGCCTTTCAGCTCTACGTCATGTATGTTGAATTCGGCTTCCCTTACATGGCACAAATTAACTTGACAAAGAGCTGGGCCTAAAGCAATGTTCAGAGCTCTATGCTATGAATTAATTATACTATTTATCTATGGATCATGAAATTTCTCTTTTGTGTCTCTATACTTGAGAATCTTACAGTGAAAACGTGCAAATCCATTTCTTTGTCTTTCATAGACTCAAATAAAGATGTTTCACATCAGAATTATAAATCCTTCTATCCGAGTAACACGGTTCAGTGTTTGTGGGTGACTGTCATTTACTTCCTGCAAAGAGATCACTGGGAAAACATGGAACAGGCCTTGATGTCAGAGATGAAATCTAACTATTTTCCAAACAAAACCCCTTTGGCACACCAATTTCCTGGATCAAAGCCAGTCTCTCCACCTACTCGAACTGCATTCGAAGCCTTCAGACACACACAACTTAGTTTGGGTATTTAGACAACGCTCCTGAAACCACCACAATGTAGAAATTCATGTTTCTTATTTTGTCACTTGCAGTAGCTACACAACATAGGAAACTGTCTTGTACCGAGTACCCAGGACATCAAACCACACACAGTCACAGACCCAGCCACAGTCATTCTCTTGCACCATGAAAAAAGGAAATTCCTTGGAAACATAGGTGAGGGCCTCATCTAACCACCAGGACAAATGGAACTTTATACATTTCTTTTATACATTTCAACCATACCACAGTAAACTCCAACACTGGCCCTCTGTCTGGATAGACAGAATTCTTTCGGTCATCAGACAACACGAAAGCAAATTTTGGAGACAGACACTATTGAAAATTGATCTCACAAGTCCTCAGCCCCATTGAGCACAACACGAATCCACGCACAGTGGTTTTTTTGCTCATCACAATAATTTCAACTATTTTGAAATGTTGTAAACGTTGAAGACATCAGTAACTCAATTTGTGATCCAGTCACCAAAGTATCACTCAAAGGTAACATCATCTTTCTCCAGCACATGGGTTCTGTAGAAAGCGTGTCACTCTCCTACTCAGTGCAAGTTTTCCATCTGTGCCCAAGAATTACCACTGACAGAAAACATCATCAAACAGAAAACCGAAATGCTGGACACACAAACTGCCCCTTTGAGTCCAAATGATGGGATATCCAAAAACGAAGACATCTTTAGAAAACTTTCAGAAGGTCATGAACAAACAGATGAATCAAAAAAAGCACAGGCCTTGTCTCCAACATTCCCTTCTCACAAACAAGTCTCTCCTCAGTCCAAAGAGACTCCACCTAAAGAGAAGTTCCTCACACAGCTTCCCATTGCCATGGATGATATTTCACTTCTCAACGCGAGTATGTGACAAGTGTGAGAATTCCTACCAGTAAGGTTTAAAAACCCTGCTACGCAAGAGATTTACTTCTGCAGAAAGGAAGGGGATCAGCACAGACTCTTGATGATGATGATGGCACTAAGGTTAGGCACAGAGTTCAACACAGAGTTGGCTCCACCCAAACTTTCTTTTTCTACAGGCCATAAGAACCTAACTAAACCATTCATTAAAATACCACGAGAACTTGCAAACACACAGGAGGAAGATCCCAGGGCTCCCCACACAGCTGAACTAAGATCTGTTGGGACAAAGTTATCATGGCAGAAGGAAATCACATTGCACAGAAGAAGGGCTGAACACTGAACAAGGAAAAGAGCAAACAGTGTCTCTCCTGTTTCACCAGACCTCCACACTCAGCCCACAGGACTCTTGTCTCCAGCCCTGCTCAATTCCGCGGTATTCTCTGACCCTCATAATCTACAAGAACCTGTAATCAAACCCCAGATAAAACAACTTTCACTTTCACCACCATCAGCTCATGTAGGTTTATCAGGAAGGGGAGTTGGATTTCTCTGCAAGGTTCAATATCCTGACATTTTAGATGATCCCAACAGTAGTAGGCATAAGAGAAGGGTATCTAGGGACTAAAAACCCCACACAACACTCAAACAGGAGCTCACACCAATGGCCACGCCCACAGGACCTCAATGTAATTTCTTTGTACAGGAAAAAAGGAAAAATGCGGGGAACAAACTGTGGGTCACGGGAAACAACTACGATAAACTGAATTTGTACACCATCTTTACACCTTCTAGAATTTTCAAACAACAACAACAACAAAAATCCAAAACAAACTAGAAAAATTTTTATCAACACTGTATCTTAGAAAAGATATTATTTCACCCAGCCCAAATATTATGCAACAAGAATGTTTCATCTGCAATCACTCTCCAGTGAAAGAAGAGCGGCAAACACAACCGCTCACATTCTGAGTATGATCACTGATACCCAAAGGAAATGTGCGCTAGTAACTAAAATAAAACACTCTCAAGACCATAAACTATACGCATCTCTCATAAAGGCCCAGGCATCACAATAACTGCTCATCCAACCTCAGCACATAGCTAACTTGGAAAGTACAGCATTCCAAAAATTTAAAGCGATCTTAAAAACTGGGCCGCTAAGTGTGATTTCAAAAGAAGCTCACACTGCTTATGCACTCATGTGCTGTCGGGGACACACCTGAGGGAAAAAAAAAAGTAAATTCCACTTGCATATAATGAACACATCCATTGACAATATGAAATGCTGAGAAGAATTGCAGTTCCCAGGGAGCAAAATGAGCAACGAAATGCAACTTGATAAAAAAACAAAGAACCAACCTCTAGCCAAGAGCAAACTCCCTTCTCTTTAACAATCAAGTAGAAGGCAAAGAACGGACCCCACGTTCACCTGCCCGTAGCAAGAGGAACCAGAACACAGCGGGCAGACGAACGGGGCATTGCCTTGCCTCTCTACATATCTTCCTATGCAACAGAAAGACGACGGGAAGAAATGAGAGGGGAGAAGTGAAGGAAATCGCCGCAAAATAATTTGGACCCAGAAACTCACCGAGGGAGCGGAGGGATCCACGGGAATGGCGCCGGC